TGAGAGTCCGCCTGCTGATGCAGGGGACATGGGTTCATGCCCCAATCCGGGAAGACCCCACATGCCGCGGAGCAGCTGGGCCCGTGAGCCATGGCCGCTGAGCCTGCGTGTCCGGAGCCTGTGCTCCACAACAGTACAGGCCACAACAGTGAGAGGCCCACGTACTGCAAATAAATAAATAAATAAATAAAAATAAAGTTGATATGATATGTTTAGAAATCTTCCTGTGGATAGAAATCTTCATTTCTCGTAGCTAAATATAGAGAAGTAGAGTGGCTGGGTTGAATGGTAGCTGTATAATTTTTTAAGAAAACTGTTTCCCAATGTGATTATACCATTTTACATTCCTACCAGCAGAGTCTAGCTGTTCCACATCTTTGTCTGCACTTGGTATGCTCAGTTTTTTTAATGTTTGCCATTCTAGTGGAAACATAGTGGCACATCACTTTGGTTTAGTTTCCCTAATGGCTAATGATGTTGATCACCTTTTCATGTGTTTCTTGTCCGTTTCTGAGAGTTATTTTGTGAAGTGTCTGTTCACATCTCTTATCAATTTCCTCACTAAGTTGTTTGTCTTACTATTTACTTTTAGGTTGCAAGAGTTCTTTATATATTCTGAGTACAGTTCCTTTGTCTGATGTATGTGTTGCAAATGTTTTCTCCCAGTCTGTGGCTTGCCTTTTTGTTTTCTTAAGGAGATAACATTTCACTTTGATGAAGCCCAATTTCCTGTTCTCTCTCTTTTTTAAAAAATAAATCATGCTTTTTTGTGTCCTAAGAAATTGTTGCCTAGCCCAAGGGTCACGAAGATATTCTATCTTTTAGAATTTTTTTGTGTAAAACTATATGGTTTTAAATTTAGGCCAAATTTAAATTTTGATCCATTTTGAATTAATTTTTGTGTATTTTGTGAAGTAGGATCGGTGTTCCCCACTCCCGCCTCCACCACCTCCCCATATCTAGTTGATCTACTTCAGTTTGTTGAAAAGACTTTTTTCCTCCAGTGATTTGCCATTCCCAAAAATGAATTCACCAAACATGTGTAAATCTATTTCTCAATGCTTTGTTCTATTGATCTGGTATGTCTGCCTTTACATCAGTCCCAAAAGGCCTTGGTTATTACATTGCTTTTTTAGTAAACCTTGAAATCAGGTAGAATAAATTCTCCAATTTTGTTCTTTTTAAAAATTGCTGTGGTTATTCTAGGTCCTTTGCATTTGCAAGCAAATGTCAATATCAGCCTGCCAATTTCTACTCAAAAGCCTGCTGCAGTTTTAATTGGATTGCATTGAATATATAGATCCATTTGGCGGGAATTGCCATTTTAGCAATATTGAATCTTTCTATTAACATAGTATATCTCTCCATTTATTTAGGTCTTCTTTAATTATTTTTTAAGCAATATTTTGTAGTGTTCAGCATAGAGACCTTGGCCTTGGATGTCTTTTGTTAAATTTATACCTAGGACTTTTACATTTTTTTGGCACTGCTATAAGAGGGATTGTTTGTCTTCATTTCAATTGCCAATTATTGTTCATATATAAGAATTCAGTTGATATCAACGTTTCATCCTGTGATATTGCCAAATTCATTTATTGTACTATTTTGTAGATTTCTTGGGGTTTTCTATGTAAACAATTGTATCATCTGTAAATAGAGTTTTATAGATTTTTTAAAAATCTTTGTCTTTTTTTTTTTTTGTCTGTTTGTTTTTCTTACCTTATTTCAGGGCTAGAACCTTCAAAACAATGTTGAATAGAAGTGGTAAAAGTAGGTATCCTTGCCTTCTTCCTGATCTCTGGGGGGAGAAATTTAGTCTTTAACCTTTAACTATGATGCTAGCTATAGCTTTTTCATAGATGCCCTGTATCTGTTTGAGGAAGCTTCCTACTAATCTTAGATTCCTGAGAGTTTTTATCATCCCTAGGCGTTGAGGTTTTGTCAAGGCTTTTTTTCCCCACATTTATGGAAAAACGATTATATGAGCTTTTTGGTTTATTCTGTTAATATGGTTGATTACATTAATTTATTTTCAAATGTTAAATTAACCTTGACTTCTGCATAAACCCTTGGTTATGTTTTTGCCAATGTATATCCTTTGTTATATATTTTTGAGTTTCAGCTTTGAATTCTTCTTTGGTGAAGAATTTTTGCATATTCTTTACAGTCTTGTTCTGTAATTTTGGGGGGATACAGCTCAAAAGACGTATGACTTGTCAATTTCAAGGACATGAAGATTAAGTGAGGTGGAAAACTAAAATTTTTTGGAAAATTATCAAGCTTACCTACATAATATATTGACTGAGAAATAGTGGAAGAACAGAATAGAGCTGTAGTTTTTAAAGGGAATTGGCAGTGAGAAGTGGCCTGCTTCATCACTGGACTCACAGACTTTCAGTTCATTGTGGTGGCTTGACCACATGTGTTTTCTCTTCTCCTTCCCTGATGTCTGCCATAATCACATAGGCAGCTAAAAGATGTTAACTCCTAAGGAAAAAGATAACAGTAGAGAAGATAGTGACAGAAGATTTTTTTTAATATAAATATATGTATGTATTTATTTATTGGCTGTGTTGGGTCTTTGTTGCTGCGCGCGGGCTTTCTCTAGTAGCGAGCAGTGGCTACTCTTCATTGTGGTACACGGGCCTCTCATTGCAGTGGCTTCTCTTGTTTCGGAGCACAGACTCTAAGCGCGTGGGATTCAGTAGTTGTGGCACACGGGCTCAGTAGTTGTGGCTCGCGAGCTCTAGAGCTCAGGCTCGGTAGTTGTGGCGCAGGGGCTTAGTTGCTCTGTGGCATGTGGGATCTTCCCAGACCAGGGCTTGAACCCGTGTCCACTGCATTGGCAGGCGGATTCTTAACCACTGTACCATCAGGGAAGTCCCCAGTGACAAAAGATTTTGACAATTTTTTGTAAAGAGAAACATAACTTTGGAAAGGAGTGTTAATTTGAGTTCAGAGGTAGATAAACAGAGCCTACAAATAAAGATGAGGTCAAGCCAGCTTGTCCCAGGCCCAGAGTACTTGGAGGCTCCTGGCATTCCTAGGTTAGTTTTGCAGCTGAAAATCGAAATTCTTCAACAGTCTGTGTCTCAGACATTTTGAACCATTCTCTCCTGCACCCCAGCAGACAGGTGATTACGTCAGCCCCCTTCCTCTGGGGAGATGTGAAGAGCACTAGGCCAGAGATGCTCCAGACTAGAGGGGTGAAACATGGGGTTGAAAATAAAGGGATTGTATACAAGTCCACCCGCTGAAGTTAGGCCCCTCACTTCTTTCTCCCTTCTCCACTCCTCCCCAGAAGCCAGCTGGAATACCACATCTAGCTGAATATAGCTTCAATAGAAAAAATCTGACATTTGGAGATCTCCCAGTGAACAGGTGACTAGATATATCTGATCATCATAGGGAGAAGCCCATCAATTAATAAACCTGCCACCCATGCCCAGCTTCTGAGCATTGTTTTAGTGCCTCCGTCTTAAATATGAAGGTACATCCAAGGATCACCAGATATATGAGCAAAGCCTCAAAAGTGAAAGAGAATGACCCTAAACGAACTATCAGTGAGCAAACAAAAAAGGAATCAAATGATGCAAGAAACAGAAGAAAACTAAAGAGTAAAATGAAAAAAAAAATCAGAAGAATAAAAGACGTTGTGTCCATTTAAAAAAGAGATGGAGGAGAACACTAGGAATAAATAGTTGAGAACAAGATAGAGCTTTTGGAATTTTAAAATTCCATGGACAGGGCTTCCCTGGTGGCGCAGTGGTTGAGAGTCCGCCTGCCGATGCAGGGGACGCGGGTTCGTGCCCCGGTCTGGGAAGATCCCACATGCTGCGGAGCGGCTGGGCCCATGAGCCATGGCCACTGAGCCTGCGCGTCCGGAGCCTGTGCTCCGCAACGGGAGAGACCACGACAGTGAGAGGCACGCGTACCGCAAAAAAAAAAAAAAATTTCCATGGACAGATGAAATTGAATATTAGGGCAAAGGGACTGTCACTTTTTAATTCTAAATTTATCTAATTTTTTTCTGTTACTATTTAGTATTCATTTTTAACTGTGTGCATTTACCATGTTGTTTAGTTAAGCATAAGGAAAATATTAAGTTTGGATTTTTTCAGTTGGGGAAGGGGACTGGCTTGGTTTCACGTTGACTGTTCATGAGCAAATAATGCCTGATGGGGATATTTGAGCCTGGGTTTGTGTTTGGTATTCTGGGCAGACATTAGTGTAATATGCATTTTAAAGCAGCAATCGCAGACAATGTTTTTCATAAAAGCAGCACAGGCTGTGGAGTTTGCTTCCCCTGCTCAAATCCAGCTTGGTCACCAAATGTGTGATGTTGTTCTAATCACTTCGCCTCTCTGATTCTCATTTTCTTCGTGTATAGTATGGAATGGTAATATAGTACCTATGTCATAGGGCTATGATACTATGGAAAGAGATAAGGGACTTCCCTGGCGGTCCAGTGGTTAAGACTCAGCACTTCCACTGCAAGGGCACAGGTTTGATCCCTGGTCAGGAAACTATTGCGCATGATGCACAGTGCAGCCAAAAAAAACCCAAAAACGGAGAGATAAGACAGTGCACAGCATGTACTAAGTGCTCATTAAAAAGAGCAGTTGTTGTAACCATGAAGCAGATGGAGTAGTATATGTAGATGGTTAGGGAAAAGATATATTTAAAAAATAACAAATACAACAATACAATTAATGAGATAATAGGCTGTCCCGAGCTAATAGTATCACTCCCCAGACTGAAAGCTTCTTGTTGCTGGCGAGTCTTTCGTTCACATTCCTCAGTGCCCATCATTGTACCTGGGACTGAGAAACTGCGCAGAGAAGGAATGAATGAATGAACCCTTAGTTGTAACATTCATTTGCAGTGCTATCCCCTAACTCTAGTATCAGTCTTCAGGTCATTAAGACAGCATGTTAGTGTGTTTATAAGTACCTAGGAGTGAAGTTTACATAAACTTAAATGTTGCATTTCAATTACAGACGTCCATTAGCAAGGTGAAAGTAACAGAAACATGGCTCAGTTTCCAACACCTTTTGGTGGTAAGTTTTCAAAGATTTTCCTTTTTTAATGTACTTTGGAATCGCATTTTTAAAAACTTAGTATTATGGCAAATTTCAAATATTCACGTAAGTAGAGGGAATAATATAATCAACCCATCATATAGTTTCAGTGATTATCAATCAACTAATGACCAATATAGTTTCACCTGGATTCTTTTGAGCACCTCTCATACATCAGATCATTTCATCCACAAACATTTTAGTGGGTGTTTCTAAAAGATAACACTTTTAAAGATATAACTACAATACTGTTACCACTCCTGTAAAGTTTCTAGTAATTCCTTAATGTCTTCAACTATCAAGTCAGTGTTAAAATTTTCCCTGATAGTCTAGATATTTTTCGTTGTTGTTGTTACGGTTGGTTGGTTCAAATCAGGATCCGAACAAGACACACACATTACAATTAGTTCATGTGTTTCCTAAGTTGCTTTGTTAGTGAACCCTTCTCCATCCCTGTTTTTTTGGTTTTTTGTTTTGCAGTTTATTTGTTGAGGTGACTGGGTCATTTATTCTGTACTTTTTCTTTAGACTGGATTTAAAGCATGACATTTTTGTTTTACTTTAGTTAATCTGCTTGAAACATCAATCTGCATAAGATGTGTTTTTCAGGTAATTTTCCCTGAGATTATTAGGAAAGTGTTAAATGTTGGTTTTGCTTACTGGCCAAGTTTTGTTTTGTTTTAAAGAGAGCATGCCATATGAATGAATTTCTCTTGGCAGCTGTCAAACCTAGCCACCATGAAGAGAGTAAGGCAGCATAAAGCCCCATCCCTGTGATTACATCTGTAAAAGTCTCTGTGAGATTCTAGTACAGAAGTCTGCAACCTTTTCAAAACCATTAGTCTTACTGTTTTATTTTCTGTTTTGTTTTTGTCCCCCTTCTTAGTTACTGAGCAAGTTTTTTGTTTGTTTTGTTTTGCTTGTTTGGTGGGGTTTGTTTCTGTTTGACAAATTTTGACAGGGCAATAGAAGTTGCAGGACTGTTAAGACCTGTGAGGGTAGGGATCTGATCTATTTCGGTCACCATCTTATCCCTAATGTCTAACACAGTGTGTGGCACATAGGAGGTGTTCAACAAGTCTGTTTTCAGTGACTGAATGAATTGCTGCTCTGCCTGTTGCTGTCATATCAGACCCTGCAGAGAAGGGAGATTTCAGTGTTTAGACATTTTGCTTGTATGCTAGGCACCTTCACATACTGTCTGTTCCCACCTTTTGGGAAAATGTCTGAACTTTTGAAAACCTTCTACCTGTGTAATCTAGAGTTATTTGGTGAATTTGTTTGAGAAAACCTAACACTAAAGTGAGGAAAATCCCAGAAACAAGGGGATATCTGGTCAGTCCAAGAACTGAAACTGAAGGACTTAAACCCTGTTCCCTCTGGTTTGCCGTTGTTTTTTTCAGGATACCCATTTTTAAAAACAGCTTCAGTGAGTTATAATCTACATGCCATAAAATTCACTACAATCTAGTATTTGAATATTTTTATCACTCCAAAAAGATTTTCATGGAATCACATAGGATACTAATTTAGTGAAGCTCAATTTTTCCATAACTTTCACTTGTGGCATTTAAGATATCTGAAAATACTGTTTTAAATTAGACTATTGATTTGTAAATCAGTCTGTTTATGTAAATAAATGATGATTATTAACATGTCTTCATACAGTCCTGCTAACTACAGGGTTATAGGACAAGTTTTTAAAAAAAAAGTTTGTGCTAATATCTTTTTCTTTTTTTGGCCTGCTTTACTCTTAATTTTCTTTTTTTCCCCTTTCTTTAAAAAATTTTTATTGGCATATAGTTGATTTACAATGTTGTGTTAGTTTCTGTTGTACAGCAAAGTGAATCAGTTATACATATACATATGTCCACTCTTTTTTAGATTCTTCTCCATATAGGTCATTACAGAGTATTGAGAAGAGTTCCCTGTGCTATACAGTAGGTCCTTATTAGTTGTCTGTTTTATATATAGTAGTGTGTATATGTCTACTCTTAGCTTTCTAACTTTATATTCAAAACTTCCAAGGACAAACAGATGTTAACTTATCAAATCATTTATAACATACCGACAGTATCTTAAGGTATTATGGAAACTGTGCGTGTGAGCACTTTGTTTTTCTTTTCTCATTGAATAATTTCTTTGTCTTTTCTTTGGATTGTAGGTAGCCTGGATATTTGGGCCATAACTGTAGAGGAAAGAGCAAAGCATGATCAACAGTTCCATAGTTTAAAGCCAATATCTGGATTTATTACTGGTAATTAGAGTCAGTATTTTTACATTTTTACTTATCATAGTGCATATATCTGTGGAAAATCTATTATGCAGAGCGAAGGTGGGCACATGTGATCTAGGGTACACTTTGCCTCTTTTGCCTTAACCTGGAGTCTGTATTTTTACAGTTGCTTCTCTTCCAATGCACTCAAGTCTTTTTTTGCAGTTTTTAATGAATGCCAAGTCACTGTTTTAGGCATATCACTGTTGGGAATTGTTTAAGATTAATGGACCACATTCTTTAAGTAATTGTAGCATTGGACTGTGGTCCTTGAGCAAAAGCACTTCCTTAATTCTGATCTTGAACTGGCTTGAGTAAATTAACAGATTATGAACATTAAAAAAATTTTTTCTTATTGCTATGTCCTAAAAGATCCTTTTGTACTTTGCGTTTTCTAATCTCTTTCCTGTTTGATTACTCTTCAGGAATTAGCTTTAGAAAAAATGGGATCTAGATTTCCTGGGAACTTGCTTTTGTGTGTATTTGTTTCACTTCTCTTTAATTTACTAATTCTTAGTCCTCGATGTGATTCTTTTAATCATTGTTACTAACTCTCCATAAATATGTTAGAAGTACCAAAAATCTGAAGTGTAGGTAAATGAGAATGGCAAAGAACTCTTTTGTAAAGTAGAAGTATGGGTCATCAGTTTCTTGAGGATTTCTGTAGGTTCACTTCGTTGTAATCTGTAGCTGTTACCATCTTAATTACTAGCAGATTAATTAAAGTGGACAATCTACCCCTACACAATGGTAGGCCCTTTTTGAGATGATTTTTTTTTTAAGTGTTACATTCTAAAGTCAGTGCTGATGGATTCATTTTACTGTTATTTATAAACTTATCATTTGGCTTTTAAAATGTATTCAGTTCAGTATTTACAGGATTATTAACCTTTCTTTTTGTAATTTTGCCATAAGTGGTTTTCTGTCAGCTGCTGTTTTCTTCTAAAACTTTTTCCATTTCATTTACAGGTGATCAAGCTAGAAACTTTTTTTTTCAATCTGGGTTACCTCAACCTGTTTTAGCACAGATATGGTAAGTTGGAACTTCATACAAGCAGAAGGTTATAAACTAGTCCAGTAATATCTAATCTTAATTTCTTAAGTTACAGAGGAGAACATGTATTTCTAGTCTGAAATACCCCACTACTTCTTACCAGAGAAGTACTTCTGAAAAGTGTCTTTCTGGTATGGAACTTTAAAAAAAAAAAAAAAAAAAAAAGTGGTGACATTTGCAAGGTAACTGTTACAAAGTTGAATTTCCAGTTGAGAAATCTACATTTTGATATTTTCTCACCACTTTGGTTTTTTTGTTTGTTTGTTTTCTGGGGGTTTTTTGGCCACACCATGCTGGAGTGTGGGATCTTAGTTCCCCACCAGGGATTGAACCCATGCCCCCTGCATTGAGAGCACAGAGTCTTAACAACTGGACTGCCAGGGAAGTCCCTTTCTCACCACTTTGTTTTACCTTCATCCACATCACCCATATTCATCTAAATGGTCCACATTTCCTGCTTTATCATGTGATAGTTCTGTATCTTTCATTGAATAAAAAGTAAAGAAGATATTTGAGGTTAATAATGGAATAACCAGTGAAAGAGTGAAATAACCAGTATTCATTACAGTGTTGTGCAAGGTGAGCACATACAAAATATTGTTGAATCTCTTGATTAACTAGCACAAATAAGTGTTCAGTCTTTTGAAACCACAGGAAAGAAAGAGAATGAATGAAAAAGACTGGCAAATACAGTTTTGGGTTCTAGGTTTATGACTTTGGGAAGCCGTGCTGAATTCTTTGGCCAAGAAGCCACGTTTTCCTGCAGTGTATGGTTCTTACAGTTAGTGCATCATTTCCCTGGGTTCGTTAGTGTCGCGGTGGCAGCTTGTTATGGTGAAAAGAACACATGATTTGTAGTTGAATCCCATCTGTACTACTTTCTATCTTTCTGATTTGGAACATGTACTTACCCCCCCCCAGCCTCAGTTTTCACATCTAGAAAATGGGAAGACACTTGTTTCCTTACAGGGTTATTGAGTGGATTAGCAGAGAAACTGTATGTAAAGGACTTAGTGTGGGCCCTGGCACATAATAGAGCCTCAAAACAAAACCCCAGAAAGGTACTGAGCTGGCCAAAAATGTTCGTTCGGGTTTTTCTGTAAGATGTTACGGAACGCAAAAATAAAGATTGACATAGTTCCTTGTTGCCTTTAAGCAGAGTCTACAGAACATAGTCTAAGCTTGATTATAAGTGTTGTCAGTATGAAAATCATTTACTATGTTCTGAAATAGCAAAACTTTCATGGGAAATTATATATTATTTGTGTGTGGATTTATTTGAATTGAAATTAAATGGTATCAGATTCCTGTGCTTTTTTTGGTGTCTGCTTTATTTTCTTTTTCCTGGTTGTCAGCATATGGGCTGCCAGACTGTCTCTTTCAACTATGATACCCTTTTAGTGCTAATGTCTCATCTACTTTGAAGTAGAAAATTCAGATAACCAAGGTTTTTGGAATTACTTTTATTATTATTATTTTTTAATTAATTAAATAATTTTTGGCTGCGTTGGGTCTTCTTTGCTGCGGACAGGCTTTCTCTAGCTGTGGTGAGTGGGGGCTACTCTTCGATGCAGTGCACAGGCTTCTCATTGCAGTGGCTTCTCTTGTTGCGGAGCACGGGCTCTAGGTGCACAAGCTTCAGTAGTTGTGGCACGTGGGCTCAGTAGTTGTGGCGCACGGGCTTAGTTGCTCCACGGAATGTGGGATCTTCCTGGACCAGGGATCAAACCCATGTCCCCTGCATTGGCAGGTGGCTTCTTAACCACTGTGCCACCAGGGGAGTCCCTGGAATTACTTTTAAAGTAAAGTAAAAGAGAGACACACACTCACACACACACACACACACACACACACACACAGAAGGAACACTTATGTACTTCTGAGCACAGGGACGCTGACCTGTTGGTTAAGTGCCTAAGTCTAAATGCAAGAAACTTGTGACATCTGTGTTAAATTTCTTTTTGCTTTGTGTTCTGCTGTGTGATTGTTTTTCACACCATCAGCCAAGATCACTCACTAGAATCTTCCTTTCCCAGACTTATCTTCCTTCACTGAATTCTGCTTTTATACTGTATTCCCAACCTATAAAGGTTCATTCAAGAAGCAGTCTTGTGATGAATACTCTGCTGCAAGGAAATCTATAATAAATTAACATTTATTCATTCAACAGTGGAAAAATATTTATCAGATGTCTACTATGGGCCTGTGCCTGTTGTAGGTGCTGGGAATACAGCTGTGAACAAAACTGACAAAATTTGTGCTTTCATCGAAATTGCAATCCAGTGGAAGGAGATGGTCAATAACAGCATAAAAACTGTCACATGTTAATAAGTGTAATGGAGAAAAATAAAGTATTATTTAGTAAATTTCAGTTCTTTCAATTAAGACAGTTAATTTTTTTTTTGTTTTTTTGGGGTTTTTTGTTTGTTTTTTTTTTAACCAGAGTATACCAAAGTCATTTTTACCAACTTATTCTTTTCATTGTGAAAATTTTTTAACAGTGAATATAATGAGTCTGCAGACTTAGGTTAAATCAAAAGTGTTCTTTGTCTTTAATTTTTTTCTGACATTTTGTTAAATAAATTTGTGATGGCATATTTTACTTTCATCAAGAATTGCTATCAGGGGAAAAAAACCAAAATGAAACACACCTCTAAGAATCTTTTCCCAAAAGCAATATCTCTGAAAAGTCGTTGGAAATTTCTCGAGCCACAGGTGTCCTGCTAAGATGCTGGAATGGTGTGGTGCAGAGTGTGAGGAACATCTGTCTTTTGACACCAGCTCTGATGCTTCTTCACTTTGTAAGCTTGAGCAATACTTCACCTCTTCAAATTTCGGTTTATAAATTTATAAATAACAGCTGACCTAATGAAATAGTTTTCCCTCCCTATCTCTCATGCTAATCTTGTGTTCTCATGTGGTTTTTCTGATGGGATCACAGGGCAAGTCCAGTGCCACTTTTGGTAGAGAGAGGAGTGGGTTTGAGTCTAAAATTTTAGGCAGTCCCTGTGTCATTCCTCTGGGGAAGAAGAAAATTTTGGATTGAGAATTAGGACCTTTTTCTAGTTTCTCTTTCTCTCTGGGCCTTACTTTCATTTGCTGTGGACCATTCAGAAGTATGAGTGATGTGCACAGCTGGGAAATATCTGTTGGAATCCATGTAGAAGTTATATTCCAGTTAATTAATTTATGAGCTTTGGAACTATAACCTACTAATACTTTGGAACTACCTATCTCTCCAACCCAGTTTCCAATTAAGAATACAGGAAAACTTGAATTCTCCCTCAGAATGGAGTCAAGTCAGTGTGTGTAATGCCAAATTATAACTGTGGCCAAAGATAATATATCTTCCTAGAAATTGTCTTGCTAATAAGGAACTGGAAGGAACAGGGCCAGTATCCTATATCGTTTTGGCAGCTTAAATGCTTAACATTGTTGCAACCTTGATCTGGTGTGGAGACAGAGAAGAAGAAAGCAGAGGGCAATGGACAAGAGCCTTGAAGGCAGAGGAAAGCAGAGGTGGAATGAGGACTTTGGAATCAGAGGCAGTAGGTAGGGGCCACAGAAATGGGGATTAGAAGCTCTTAAGGAGAGAAATGAGGGGAAGAGAGGCAGCACCACCTAGAAATGGGCCCCAAGAGGAGGAGGAAGCCAGAGGCATAAGGGCAGAAATTAGAACATCTTGGTGATCTGGCTCAAGGATGGGGCAGGGGGCAAGGCAAACGCCTGTGTGACACCTTTGGATGCTATCTTAGGATACCACTGAGCATATGTCAGGAGGGCCTTCAGCCCCCAGCAAGATCAGTTTGCCAAAGTCATTTACCCCCAGAAAAAGTCATCCTGGACATTCCTGAGTCTTCACCATCTCAGTTCATGGCATTGAGCATCTACCCGGCTGCTGGAAGCCGTGCCTGATTCCTCTCTTTTCCTTACCCTACGCAACCAATCCATCAGCAGGTACTTTTGACTCCATTTACAGACTGTATCCCCAATCTGGCCATTTCTTTCTGTATCCTTTGCTACCATCCTAATTTGTCATAGTGGGCCTAATAGCTGGGCCCACTATTCGAGCGTTCTGACTGGAGTCTCTCACACTTGCCTGTTTAGATTCCATTCTCCAAACAGCACCCCAACAATCTTTTGAAAAAGTAAATCCGTTTAAAACTCTCCATTGATAAGAAAACCAAAGTCATGACCAAGGCCACAAGGCCCAATATGATCTGGCTCTTGCTTTTTCCCTCTTCTCTTATTTTGTACCACTCCCTTCCTCAGTTTTTGCACTCTGGTTTCACTGACCTTTTTTCTATCTTTAAATGGGTTCCTTTGGCCTCAGGGTCATTGCACTTGGCATTTTCTCTTCCTATCATGCAACTCTTCTAGATCCTCACATATTTGGCCTTCAGGTTTTGGTTCATCTCCCCAGAGAAGGGCTTTCTGACCACTAATCTAAAGCAGTTCCCTCTCCCCACCTGCTCTGAAGAACATCTTCTCTTTCCCATCACCTTGCTTTATTTCTTCTTTTTAAAAATAAATTTATTTATTTTATTTATTTATTTTTGGCAGCATTGGGTCTTCCTTGCTGTGTGCTGGCTTTCTCTAGTTGCGGCAAGCGGGGGCTACTCTTCGTTGCGGTGCGCGGGCTTCTCGTTGCGGTGGCTTCTCTTGTGGAGCACGGGCTCTAGACACGCAGGCTTCAGTAGTTGTGGCACACAGGCTCATTGCAGACTGTAGAGCGCAGGCTCAGTAGTTGTGGTGCACGGGCTTAGTTGCTCTGCAGCATGTGGGATCTTCCTGGACCAGGGCTTGAACCCATGTCCCCCCTGCATTGGCAGGCGGATTCTTAACCTCTGCGCCACCAGGGAAGGCCTTGCTTTATTTATTAATAGCACTTACCGTGTGGAATAATCTGATTAGTTTTCTTGTTGAGTGTCTGCTTGTACTGAAACAAGCTCTGAGGGCAGGAACCTTGCCTGTCTTTT